GAGTGGCGACTTGGTACTTGATATAAAATAAAATAGATGTATGCATTTGGCTTTAGACTGTATTATTTGGCATTCCTTGAGGAAGGTCTATGTTCAAGAGTGGAATTGTGATTGGCTGTAATGCTGATAATAATAATTATTATTATTGAAATAAAAAAGGCAAGCGAACTTTTAATTAAATGCTATAATAGCAAAAATACGTGGAACTGACGAGCATTGCAACTGCAGTAACAGAAAAGCTTACGTTGTAAATCTATGATACCCGACCGGACCGCAAAAGGAAAATGGAATGAAATAATTGGCTTGTTACTAAAAACCGACCGGCTTATGCATAATAATATCTACTTATTTAACTTTGTGCATTGCAGACTCATTAGTTTTATGCTGTGTTATCATTTGTACCGTATTATTATTTATAGTAATCATCAGGCCATTAATAATCTTTTCTACTCTCTCAACAACTTCGTGAATTGAGCAGCAATCGCAGTACCTACCTTGTACTGATGTCCAGGTCTAATACTGGACTTTTCATGTAACTAAACATAATTTATTATTTGAAATTATCTTATTCTATAGAAATCTTTTCACGGGAACGCGGTGTTCTCACGGATCATTCCGTAGAACACTGCAATCTAAAATACCATGACAATCACGCAATCATGAGATGATGATGATTGTCCTGGTATTTTATATATTGCTTTTTTATGCTAATTAATAACGATGAGGATGTTGTTGTATATATATATTATTGTATCGCATTGTCGCGTTGCGTCTCACTGTTAACTGACCCTTAGGATTAAATTTTCCGTAGGTTTTTAGGATTACTTAAAATGACACAAGAAGTTAAATTACAGTCTATATATATATATATATATATATATATATATATATATATATATATATATATATATATATATATATATATACATATCCCACTACTGGACACAGGACTGAGAAAGCCTTCAAAGACCATGAAAGGTCATTTCTGAGCGTGTGGTAAAGTAATTTGTGTTAACGGACTTCACATGTCGTATCATATACTCCTCACCGACAAGCATGTAGTAAATCAGCATAAAAAATTGCAACTAATAATTTAATTTATTGTGAAATTTACAGCGAGCTTTTAGCCTCTGAATTACCAAAGCTATAATAATAATTAAATTCCTATATTTTTAAGTGTTTCCTATCAATTTCAACAAAACAGAAAGATTGTGAAATTTGCTCGGTATCTGTATTAATTTCAGACACCTTAAGGAATCATTTTAAGTGGTATAATGTTTTTTCAAAAATATTTTCTTGCTAAGTTTAAAAATTTTTGGGAATTACCACCATTTTATAATGCCTTATACATTACTTGTGTTTATTTTATTTTATTTAATAATTGAAAGAGTTATGAAAGAAACTGATGAAAAAATTTGGGATGTGCAAGCGGGATTTAGAAAGGGAATGGGGTGTACAGATCAAGTCTTTTCCATGCGCATGATCGCGGAGAAGTTTTTGGCGAAAAACCATAAAGTTTTTTGTGCGTTCATGGACTTGGAAAAGGCTTATGACAGAGTGGACAGGGATGTGTTATGGCAAACGCTGAACGCATTTAGGTTGAGCGCTGGTTTGATACAGACATTAAAGTCTCTGTATAGGGACTCGAGTGCTTGTGTTAGAATCAACGGGGTCTACTCGGACTGGTTTGGCATCCATAAAGGTGTCAGACAGGGCTGTGTAGCTTCCCCGTGGCTGTTCAACCTATTTATGGACAGCTGTTTGGAAAATTTGAAAGTTGAAGAATGTGGGTTAAGAATGGGTGAGTTAACCATCAAATGCCTTTTGTACGCCGATGATCAAGTCATAATTGCGTCGTCGGCGGCCGAGTTGCAAATGATGGTTACATTAATGAACAGGTCATTAAAAGAAAGGGGAATGAAAGTGAACGCAAGTAAGACGAAAGTGATGGTTTTTGAAAGAGATAAAGCAAAACGGTATGTGAAATAAGAATAGAAGGAGAGTTAATAGAGCAAGTGTATGAGTTCGTATATTTGGGATGTGTATTCAGCAGGGATGGGAGATATGATAAGGATATTGAACGACGAGTGAATGCAGGAAATAAAGTAAATGGGGCTCTACACTCTATTGTGAAAAGTCAGAATGTGTCAAAAAAGGCAAGTATGGCAATTCACAGTGCTGTATTAGTCCCTACTTTAACGTATGGTAGTGAAAGTTGGGTGTGGCAGAAAAAGCATGAGAGTAGGATAAATGCAGTAGAAATGCGGTCGCTAAGGAGTATGTTAGGGCTGAATCTGAGTGACAGGGTGAGAAACTGTGTGATAAAAGAAGAGTGTGGTTTGCAAGATGATGCGGTGACCAGGATTAAGAAAGGAATGCTTCGGTGGTTTTGTCATGTAGAAAGAATGATTGCGGAAAGACTGACAAAGCAAATATATGTTTCAGAAGTGAATGGAAGAGTCGGAAAGGGACGTCCTAGGCGGAAGTTTGTCGACCAAATTGGCGATATACTAAAAAATGGGCCAAATTAAGAGTACCCTTAACCGACGAGCATGTATGCGTAGGTATATGGATGTGGAAGAGGCGAGAAAGGTATGTCAGGATCGTGCTAAATGGAAGTCTGTAGTCTCTGCCTACCCCTCTGAGTGACAGGCGTGAGTGTTTATGTGTGTTATGTTATGTATTTAATAATTTTATGAATAAATGCTTAAAAATTGCTATCTCTCACCGTATTTCCAAAAGTATTGCTAAGAAAGCTAAAACATTAGAATATAGTAAACAAGGTATAGATTAAAGGAAATTTATCAGAATTATTTTCCCAAAAAAAAAACAGAAAAAAAAACATTTTTACACAAAGATCAGCTTAAAACGTGTTACTTTTGCTACGGCAAATGTACATATATTACACTTACGATAAAATTAAAATCCGTCTATTTTGGAGAGAAAAAACAGTTCAGGCCACAGTTGTTTCTTTAGGTTGACTAGCTCAGTCATTCAGGAACATAGCGACAGCAATAGATGGTTTAAAACTTATTCTTCTGATTTCTTCTAGTCCTGAATACTCTCAACAAAAATTGACAATAATTTTTTTATAATAATAATTTTTGCTTGTTTTCAAAATAAAGTTTTGTTTTTATTCATGCCTTTGGATAATTTATTTTTATTTTATTGTTACGGCAATTGAATATCCTATGTCTTATTTATTCACTGCTATCAAAAAATAACATTTTGTTCCATGACTTTTGTGGTATTTGAGCAATTCAATATCCGGGATTGGGATGTTACATAAGGCTATTCAGCAGACTCATTAAATACCTGGAAACCTTTCGCAATTACAAAACTTTATTCAGTGCTTGAGACGTTTACCTTACTACCAACCGTGGGCACTACCTACCTACTGTAGCATAAGAAATGGCATAATATATTAAGGAAAAAAGTATAACCAAACAGATAAATAGAATACATCCTCTCTTATTTAACATAAAATATTTTCTATTATTTTTACTTGTAGTTTCATAACATAAATATGGTGCTACATTGACCCGCCAACCTGCATTTAAAAAGATCAGGACTAGCATATTACGAAAGCATTATCTATTTAATACTGAGTATATTTTATTTCACAAATCACTACTAAATATAACTTAGTTTATGTACCACATGCTCAGCGGTGAAGGAAGATATCTTGAGGAAGCCTGCATGTCTGAAGAATTAAATATTTCGAGGAGATATTAAGTCCACTAACACGTACTGAAGTAACACGAAGGACCAACTACTCCAATATTTTTTTTTTCAAAAAAAAGACTGTCCAGCTGTGGGACGTACATAGACTTACACAGAAAAGTTAAGTTACAGCCTATATACGAGTTGTATGTAGGTTGTAGCTAATAATTTTAATTACAACTCCCCCGCCTCCCTCTCCACCACATCCCACCACCTTAATTCATTTTGAGTTATGATTTTGGGGTTAGTTCTATGGGATTTTCTTTTTGATTTTTCTCAAGAATGGTGCATTACCTTTTAATGGGAGTGGTATCATTATAATCGGGTACCAAACCTCTACCAAATAAAACACCTTACTCCCACAAATTCCTGCCAAGCGATTCTAAATTTCAACCTTACTTTGCTCAACCGACACAAAAATGAAGGGAAACATTACTTGTGATGAAAATTGGATACTGTACGATAATCGGAAGCGCTTGCTAGATTAACGATAATTTTATGATTAAATTTTAGTTATGATTAACCCATTTGTGAACTAATTATAAAGTTTTAAGAATTGTTAATTTGTTACTACTTCCGGTTTCTAATATACGATAAATATATTATAATAAATACATTTAAATAGCCTGAAAAAGTTTATTTATATGTAAGAAATTTCTTTCATATTCTTGAATGTGTTTGTTTAAGTAAGGATTTTAGTTTCTTTATCTTATTACTTACATGTGTTAAACCCTTTTGGACCACGTGTTTTTGAAATATGTTTATACTGCAAATTAATTGTTGAAAGCTGTGAAAATGGTTTTTAAAATGATTTTTCTGATTTTATTTGATAGTTAATAATTTTTATAATTTAATTGTTAATATTTAGATGTGTTGAGAAGCGTTCAATAAAAAAATAAAAGCGACATTTGGCGGTAATCTTATAAATACTCCGATTTCAAAGAAATTCGAGACAGTGCTTGATTATTCTCCGTATTGGCAAGTTAAGTATATTTCTACTATGTCTTATTTTATAGTACTTCTGCTTATTTTTGCTTATTGTATCTTTTGTTGAAATATTCTTTAAATATGTGTGAAGATATTATTCTTTAAATATTGATTTAAAGATTTTAACAGTTCCTTTTAGCTAAATAGGAGAATTTAATTTTATTTCTAAACCGGTCTTTTTTCTAGCTGATTTCTTCGTTTAATTTCTCATGAAATTATTATCAGAAGTGGGATCGCCCGTGTTTTTTGTTAATCGTTATTTTAAATATTTCAGCGCAAACTATTTCAATATGAATGTGGAGCTGGTGAAAGGGCTGTTGGAAACCATCCAAAATGTAATGGTTTCAAATATGCGGCACGACGACTCAGCGGTGTCAATTTTTGACCTGGACAAAAACAACGACGGAGCAGCTGCCTGGTGCGAAAGCTTCGATAAGTTGGGAGACGAGTTAAAATGGAGCAGCTTTGAGAAGGTTGCAAAAGCCGGTAAGGCCCTTCGGGGCTCTGCATTATCTTGGTTTGACACGTGGGAGCCTGAGACAGGTAGATTGTGGGAAGAATTCAAAAAAAGATATTAAGTATGTCTGTTTACCCGCAAAGGAAAAATCTTAGTGAGAACCTGTTAACTGTTAAATTATGTTTGTGTACCCACAAAAGAAAAATCTAAGTGAAAAACTGTTAAACGCTGTGTTATATACGTCGGATTCCGCAGATTCTTTCGATGGTTTTTTTTAATTTATTTAATATAAGAAAAAATACATAAAATCGCAATTTAAACATCACAAAACCCTTACGGGTTTGTCTGGATGTTGAGACACTTTTGAGCAATCTGTTGACATTAGTTTATACGTATTCTTATTTAATAAGATCATCAAATATAGTATTAACAGTATGAAGTATAGGTACATTTACATACAAGTGGACATAAAGGAACCGGTTGTAGATAAGCAGCTCGGCACGGCTGGCGGACAGCCGGCTGATGCTACTTGAGTGTGTTATATACATGATGTTTCGATTATCGATATGATATTATGTTAGGTTTGATTTCATTATAATTAGACAACTTGTTATTAAAGTAAAGAATTAAAGTATTGTTTATATTTATTTTTATAGTTTTTGTCCGTTATTCCTAATCTGATTTTAGTAGGTATATCATTAACGAAGGTTGGTATTAAATACGCGTTCGTTCGTTTTCCGTAATAATTTCTAACTCTTGGTAATTCTAGTTTTAATTGAGTTACTTTCCGTGTCATTGTTTTATGATTCACTTTTATTTGTATTTCTTTGTTCGTAAATTGTTCAATTAATAGCCACATTTTTATTTTAATATGAACAGGCAATATCTCACAATATTTAAATAAAGCTAATACATCGTCTCCGAAGCAGATTGATTTTTTAATTTTATCAGGTATTATTATTTTTAAAAGCCGAAGTTGTAGGCTGTATATTTTGTCCAAATATGTTTTAAACGTCCTACCATAGCTAGTGATCCCATATGAAATGATTGACTCTGCGAGTGCATTATATAAATTTAGTAATATTTTAAATGGTACTTTGTATTTCAAAATAGCAAATTTGGCCAGCATTGCTCTCAGTTTTTCACATATTGAGTCAATGTGATAACCCCAGTTAAATCTGTTATCGACTACTAGTCCTAAATATTTGTAACGGGGAACCTGCTCTAACAATTCACATTTGCACCCGGTCCTATTTGTTTCAAAAACATGCAAGCACTGATGACTATGCGCAATTACTTCGATTTTCTTATCAAAATTGCGTAGGTAGTTAGATCGAATATGAATAATTTTAGTTTTACTAGCATTCAGTACTAAACCAACATCATGAGACCATTTACATAAGTTATTGAAGTCATTTTGTAAAAGGTGTTCGGCCTTATCTAGATCTTTATCGACTGCTATAAGACATGTATCGTCCGCGTATTGATAAATGGAACAATGTTTTATTACATTTTCCATATCATTCACGTATGCTAGATAATGCAAGGGTCCGAGCACGGAGCCTTGTGCTGTTCCAGTAGTTACAAATATTTCGTCACTGAAATCATTGCCGATCTTAACCCGGTATTTCCTATCGTTGAGATAATCTTGGCACCATTGTAATAATGGCCCGCGAATACCTGTATTGTCAAGTTTTTTTATAAGAATATCGTGCCTAAGAGTATCAAATGCCTTACTAAAGTCAATGAATAATAATATGACATGTTTTTTATCATTCAGGTGTTGGTTTATTTCGTCCGTGAATTTAGACAGCAATATAGTAGTTGATTTCTTAGATTGAAAGCCTAGAAAGTATTGAGCATTTGATAATATATCGTTTCTAGTATAAAAATTGTGAATTTGCTGAGCCACATATTTTTCGACTACTTTATCTATGACTGACAGTATTGTTATAGGCCTATAGCTATCATACTCACTATGTGATCCCTTTTTATAAATTGGTCTTACGGTGCCAGTTTTCAATTCTTGTGGATATTTTCCTACAGCTATGCTAGTGTTTATCAGCTTAACTACAATATTAGCAATCTTGTCACTCAGCATCTTAACATCAAAACATCGGATTCCATCATTACCAGCCGATTTATTTGCATTTAAACTTTTTATAATAGTTAGTATATCGCGCTTGGTAGGTTTTTTAAATAACATAGATTTGTTTTACGTAGAATATGGCTCGACTCGGGAAGGACCACGGTCTCACAGAATGCCAGCGTGCAATATATATGCTGGTGTGTTATATGGTGAGTGTAGAAGACCGGAGATTATTTTTACTGGTACCTAACGAGATCTTAGGTGATAACACACTACACGCGTTAGATATAGGTGTCTACAGGCCACATCATCTACTTATTTGCAGGTGGATTATGAGGTGAAATTGTTTGATAGAATCAGGCGTTACTTTGCGGAAATCCATTATAATAAAAATCTAAATTACTTCGCAACCTTCCGCTAGCTAAATACAATGATGTGTCTTACCTGGACTGAAGAGCACCTCCCGCCCTCTCTCAATTGCATGCACTAACTCATAGCGGTCAGTCACCGTAGAGTCTACATCACCTGAGGATGCCTCGTGTAGAGGCGAAACACGTGTCGTATTGTCGTCGATGATGTGTCCTACCTGGAATAGTGGTGTTGGAAGTAGTGGTGCCGGGAGTAATGGTGCCGGGAGTAGTGGTGCTGGGACTAGTGGTGACGGAGTTAGTGCATGCAATTGAGAGAGGGCGGGAGGTGCTCTTCAGTCCAGGTAAGACACATCATTGTACTTAGCTAGCAGAAAGTTGTGAAGTAATTTAGATTTTTATTGTGAACTTTTGTTTGTCTCCCCTATACTATAAAAATGCCATCATACGTTGTTGTACTAAAATAATTAAGATTTGTATCAAAACCAATTAAAACCTAAACTATGGCCCCTTGGTCATTAAACAAGTCTGTGATTACATGAAGAATGTTTAACGACAGCTAAAAACTTGAGAATATACCCAGTCTATTTAAATTATTACATAAGAGTATAATAAATCAGTAAAAAGAGTCGTCTGCACAATTTATTTTTGATAAATTGTATTGTGGGATGAAGGAACTGGAACGAAATAGTGTAATCGTTTCTGCCTCCCCACTGCCAAATTACTCGACAGTTGTAATCATAATGGTATTTTCTCTAAATATGTAAAGTTAAAGTTAAAGCAAGGTCACAGCCTATATACGTCCCACTGCTGGGCACAGGCCTCCCCCTCATTTCTGAGAGGGTTTTAGGGCAAGTTTCCGAAGTTTAGGAAGTATCCGACGCGCAGCCCCTATGCGTGTTTGCGAACTTCACATGTTTTCGAAATATTTTTTTTCTCATTCCTCAGACATGCAGGTTTCCTCACCTGTGTTTTGTTTTCCTTCACCGCCGAGCACGTGGTAAATAAGCACTTAAAATTGCAATTAACAATTTTATTGATGCCGGCGCGGTTATACATATTTACAGCGATCGTAAACCATCTGAGCTACCACCTCGGCTCTTATAATATGAAAATTAATTTTACCATGATTGTGAATGGAATAAAGTTGTAATGTGAACAATTAAAGAAACAAATTTCTTCCAGGATGGAGGATTTTTCCAAAGCAGGGGCAAACGTACTTTATAATATCAATTTATATATATTCTATACCATTCCATTCGGTTCAGATATGTATTTTTGATGATTATACCCTCCCAATTGACTTTAGCGTACGGAAACAGTTCCCGAATAATTGAAAGTTATTAACTAATCAAGAGGTACTTAGACCATTATAAAGGTGTTACATGAAAACTTTGTCTTAAATAATCAAGCTCTCCTATGCTTGTTGTTCCATACTTTCACTCCACTTCCAAGTATTACATCAAATGACATTTCGTATCACAAAGCAAATAACAAAACCATATTTCTCTTTGTCTTTTGCGACCGTGAATAACTTTGGGATTATTTATGGCATACGATAACATGATACGGAGCGAGGAAAGTCACTCAAGAGGTTTGCTTCTTTGTAAGTGTACACAGCAAACAATCGTAATAAATATATGATGGATATATCGTATGAGGAAATTGTCTCAGTTAAGTTTTTGTTTGGGGATTTTTTTTTAACATTCGTTTAGGGTATATTAAAAGTGAATTTATAATAACGTACGGCAATTGACGTCAAAAAGTAGGGTAATAAGGTCAACTTTTGACTGTGAGTTAGCTATTGAAATAATACTAGCTTTTACGGAATTTATCGCGTATATTGAACTTTTTAAATACCCGACGTTTCGAACGCTTTACAGCACTCATGGTCACGGGTGGGACTGAAATGTTCAACGTCCTGATGTCATAGTTAACCGCGGTTAACATACATTAAAATTTTAACTTTTATTCCGATCTACACAATCCGCGGTTACCATAAATATTTTTTTAATTATTAATTAAAAGAGAGAGAAAGAGACACGATGTGTTGAAGAGATCTAACAGTTTACGAAATTACGTTAATAACAATTTATCAAAATCAACTACTGAACATCACTGAACATAATGGCTTCCCCACAGATAAACACATACGATTTTAAAATTTGCCATACTTTCCACTGTTGGCAGGCGGGTTGGCAACCGCAGTTTTTTTTTCAGTTGTTAAGAAGATGCTGCAAAGATAGTGCCAAACCCATGAGACGATTTGGGTTACCGGATATTAAAAAATTACTTTTTAATACTAGCTGACCAGGCAAAGGTTAAAACGTTCCATGAGTAAGGCTATGGGCCTATGGAGGTATCTGTTTTATAATAAAACACTTTTTAACAACTAAAGTTCTGAAAGTCATCAGGTATAAATAAACAGTTTTCGTAAATATGTAATATTTATAAAAAGAAAGAAAAATAAAAAAGAAGTGCACAGACATATTCCATTTAGTTTTCAATTTACGTTTTGAACTTATGCTAAAAGCTAAACAACAAGCTTAACACGAGACCTGTTCTCAATTTTTGGAGGGACGTGAACTCATAACAACCTTCAGTACACTTCGTTGTATTGATATTATGATGTATTAAACGATAAAGTAATAAGTAATATATCAAAGATAAAATATTTATTTATAGTGTGTTGGAAGCAGACGTGGGAACGAGTGTAAGCTTCACTCGTCTGCTTCCAACTGAGCTGAAACTGCAACGCCGATAGATCGCATGTTCAACTAGGACACGGTGACACATGCGCTGTACTAGTTGTAGTGTGTTGGAAGCAGACGTGGGAACGAGTGTAAGCTTCACTCGTCTGCTTCTAACTGAGCTGAAACTGCAACGCCGATAGATCGCATGTTCAAGACACGGTGACACGTGCGCTATAGGGACCGTGCATCTAGACTTTTACGCCAACTGGTGGCAAACATCGTAACTAATTCGAATCGTTTCACAGAGTACATTATAGGTCATTTATTTCATTTTAGCACGTGAATAATGCGTTATTAGATATTAAAATATATAGATATATTATCCGTGACTAATAATACTTTGTCACGTGGAATTAATGTGAACATGAAATTTTATAAATTCCCCGAGAACAGGTTTGGAGTTGCATGGAAAATAGCAAAACGTAAGTATTGGACAAAAGCAGTAAAAAATTAGTTGTAAGTCAGTACAGAAGCCTAATGGCAGAGCGCGGACCGCGAACTCAAAAAGGTCGTGGGTTCCAATCCACCATTCGACCACTGGCGTGAATCACTCTTAACACAAGCAATTTAAGTATGGAGTGTAGAGGTAAGGAGTACAGTCTCTGTTTCAAAAAGTGTCCGTAGGAAAGCGTTAAATAACGGTGGCGCCACTGTAGCTACAGTCTAAATTTTAAAGAACTTTTTATGATGTTTTTTACACAGACTTTCACAATAATTCTTTTTACAGTAAATATTTTATTGCTTTCAAAATTTATATTTTCAAAATCACTATCAACGTATTTTACGGCGATATAACATACCCCGTAGCTATTCGAGCGCTGTAGTGGAGAGTTTTTGAACTGTTATTACAGATGGACAATTTTTCGACTATTCTCGTATGGGAGTTGGTACTTCTTACTTCTACACTCCATAAATTTAAGCTTACTACGAGTGGTTAAGGGGAATATTAGTAATGTTTATAGCATTGTTAATATTCTAAAATTTTATTACAAAATTAAAATAAATTTTAAGATTAAAATCGAGGCATGTAAAAACTATTATTTTGATAACTAAGTTCTATTATTATGATATTTATTTTATAATAAAAACTTAACCTCTACCTTTTATCGGTTTCAGAGAAAATCCAAAACACTGGGCACCAAATAAAATACAAGAATTTATAATTCTCATTTTATCAATAACGAAACATCGGAACATCCAATACATCCGTCTTATGTTGCCTCGATTTTCCTAGTAAAACTCTAGTAGCTCTTAACGTAAAATTTGTTTTAATTTTATTTATTTTATAATAACATAATTTTTTCACTTTTACTGCTCATGTGAAAAAAACATAAACCTATGGCTTTTTGACTCATCGACATTAAGAGGAAATACATAAAAGAAGAATCGTCCCCCAATCTAACTGCCATGGTTTCTGGGTCATGCCTACAGAACCCCATTGTTAAGTATATAATAAGTTAAGTAAGTTTTAGCTTTTGACCCTGCTTTATGATCTTGTTGAATAGACTTGAAAGACTTCCTCTGACTGTTTTTTGGTTACTTGGCTCAATTATATATTGTATGTTAAATTTCCATATTTTTATTTAATTTAAAGTTTTGAATCCTCAATAGTTAATAAATAGAACCCTCTCTATCTTGTTAATATATGAAGCAGGATTTTTTTTCAACTCTGGGTAAAATTGTACAACATAAGTATTATTTAGTTGTAGTAAGTTCACTATTCATTATCACTATATTGTTTTGCTCAAAGTTTTGTATTGTATTCTACCATTCCCAGAAATATAAGCATATACTACTTTAATATCGAATACTCTCAATGAAGGACTAAAACCCAAATTTTGTCTCATTCCAATGGTTTCTCTCCATCCAGTTGAGAAGTGTCAATTTATATTTCAAACGGTTTTATGCGTTTAATGTTTTTTTTGTAATATTATTAACTACCATCTAAGGTCAGAAATTTGCCGCTGAATATATATTACATAACGTTATATATACATTATTATATATAATAAGGTTTAAAGCACAAAATTATTAACCTCATTTTACTAATAGCAACCAAAATGGGTTTCGCACAATATATTTAGTCACTATATATATCATAAAATTTTTATAGTTCTTAAGATTTTTACATAATTTCCTCTTACTACAACAATTTATTTTGTTGCTAACATATTTTGGCAATCAGTGTATGCATCTGTCAGCATAACTCTATTGTGCTTTTACCATACCTAGTTTTATTTATGAAGGTGATAATTATAACATGATAGGTATGAATGATACCATACTTAATTTTACTGAATAAATCCATCTTTATTTTATTTTTTAATTATTACTTCACATATTACTTATTTTTACTTTGTCATAATTTTTAATATCTTACAATAGAAAATTATTACCTATAATTATTTTTAAATTTCTTTTTAATTGTTTAATTTACCACTGTTTTATTATTAGCGATATAAGCGAAGTATGTAAGTTTTATATTTTCCCAGATTGATATTTTATGTACCGCTGTAGTCCATTAATGCATTTGCAACTCATCATTCTATTTAAAACCTAATGATGCTAAACACTTCTTTCTTTCATGTAACTAAGGTTATAGTAAATTATATTTCATCGCTTCATTTTTCAGACATAATTACTCACCAGGTAGTCCCCTTAACCTACAGGTGACTTTGCACGCTTTAAAAGACACTCAACTGACTAAACTAAAGTTGGCTGTGAACCGACTTACCCCTACCACCGCTGACTCGGGGACGGAGTGAGTCGCCATTCTGTGCTCATTCCTTTTTCGTGCACGGTGATGACAGTACGCGACTCCCAATAAGTACACTTTATTCTTTCCTTTTTTTTGTAAAGTATTTATAATTAAAATTTATAATGCCACAACGAAGTGCGGAAGAAAAAATCGAGTGTTACGATTTTAGTTCGTGCTAAGTGACGCTGAACTTGGGCTCCGATAGCGGTGAGCGTCTTGTGGAGCGGTCGGCGCACGTAGTGCAGCTATCTGACCGTATTGGTGACGTCAGGTTACACTATATACTTCCCACACAACACACCAACTTCCATTTACTTGCCCCTGACGCCACCTTGTGGTAGACCCTACACTTCTGGAATTCGGTAAGGTTTGCGTTTTCGTAACTAACCTTTCTAATTTAATTATCCATAAGCCATTGGGCTCCACCATTGGTTGCTCGTCGAGGGGATCACTCATGGGCCCTGGTTTCGTCGATCTTTGTTGGGGCAACTAAGGGCGTGTACATGTATTAGTAGTAGATAAAGTCACCGAGCGTCTGCCAACCGTTTCGGTCGACACCTCAACAATGATTGATTCTGAGAATTTGACTCTGGCAGACAATACTTACGCCGTCCCCGGAGAAATAGACATGCTCATTGGAGCATCGGTATTCCCTCATCTTTTGTTACACAGGAAAGTCAAGGGCAACTCCTCGTATGCCGCACCTTACGCAATGCAGACAGTCTTGGGCTACGTCATCGTTGGTTCCACCTCTATCATGGATAATATTTCGGCAACCTCTTATTGTTGTATGGCTGTCAAACCTCCCAAATTATTGACTCGCAATTTTCGGGAAATAGAGGAGGGGAACGTCCCGCCTTTACTTAGCTCGGGTAATAAATTATGCGAAGGGTCGAGAAGCAAGACGTTAGTCTGTTATTAGTATACCTGTTGTAGTTTCGTCGCAGTCGAAGGGAACGCCGAGTAGGGATAGCCTTGGAGCTATGTTTATCGACACCGCGAAGAAGGCCAAATTTATTAAAGTTAGATCGCCCCGCAAAACGTCAGGTGACATATTCAGTGCACGTGTTTCGCAACCCGGGACTCGAATCGATGTCGTTAGTAGAAGCGTGCGCGGTGCCGATCGAGGTCACGGTCGCGGCGCATGGAGACGCTGAGCCGCTCCGCCAGAAAGCGTAACTCATTGGAGGCTAAGGAATAGACCTGCTGATGCCAATCTTGCTTGGCGAAAGGAAGTGAGGCTTCGCGAGCAACAAGCCATAAGCAGTGTTGTTCCGAAGCGTTCATCGCATTGTTTTACCGCCTATTAATACTTATAGTTTAGTCGCTTAGAAATTGCGTACTATATATGATAGATAGTTTTATTATTTAAATATTAGTTTGTCGTTGATAGAATTATATTTGTATTTTGCTTGGTGTTTGTTTAGCTTGTTAGTGTTCCATAAAAATAAAAACAAGGTAGTATAGTGTAGCTGCGCCACAGCAGTACGCTGACGCTGTATTATATTTAAATCATTTTTGTCGTTACAATGTAGCCTTTGTAGTTTAGAAGTCAATAAGTGGTGTTTGTTCGTATATCGTTGCGTCCGATTATAGCTATGCAGATTTGCCAGTATTGCGTGAACTTCAACGTGCACATTTTTCCGATGAAATTACAAGATTACAATCGAATAGATCTTGTAGTCGCGCTTTTCAACTCCTTAAGCTATTTTTACAAGATGGAATCTTTAGAGTAGGTTAGTAGTAATTAGGTAGTAGGTTAGTCGATTATCACCATAAATTGAATTCTCACGCTGGCCCTGACTTGTTGATTCAAGTCAATCTTGCGGCATAATTATTGGATTCTTTCTGCACGTAATTTAATCCGCAATTGGGTGCACAGATGTATGGCTTGCTTTCGAGTACGTCCTAAGCCGTCATTTCCGGAAATGGCGGACCTTAAGTCTTGTCGTGTAACACAATCCGCAAAGCTTTTTACGTACACCGGGTCTGACTTTGCTGGTCGGTTTAAGGTCACGCTCACTCGCGGGCGTGGTATAAGATCCACGAAAGCTTACATCTGCATTTTCGTATGTCTGACTACTTTTGCTGTGCATGTAGAACTTGTTTGTGATCTAAGCACAGCGGGCTTCATGAGTGCATTTAAAAGATTTCTTTCCCGCCGTGGCCCTGTAAGTAGATTGTATTTGGATAACGGTACAAACTATGTAACCAGTAAATAATATAATTCGGAGTTCGCTCACATCCTAGCCGAGAATCGCATCGAGTATTCTCTGAACGTCCCCGCCGCGAGCCATTTTGGGGGAAATTAGGAGACTAATATTAAGAGTCTAAAGAGCCATTTATATCGATTAATAGATCAAATTTTGTCCTTTGAAGAGTTAAGTACTGTGCTCGCTCAAATTGAGTGCGTCATGAATAGTCGCCCCCTTTGTCGTACGTTATCAAGCGACCCCTCGGAGGTGCTGGCTCTAACTCTAGCACATTTTTTGAATTTAACGCCTTTGAAATATCTGTCGGCCATAGACATAGACGAGGACAAACTTAGTATTTCTGCACGCCATAAATTATCCGGTTGGTGCAGTCGTTTTGGAAACGATGGAAGATGGAATATTTACATACGTTTGCAGTCTCGGCAAAAATGGAACACAACAACCGAACATTTAACTGTCGGAACTGTGGTTGTACTCACCAAAGAGAATACACCTCCTCTCCATTGGCCATTAGGGATCGTTGAAGAAGTTTTTCCCGGTTCCGACGGAGTAACTTGTAATAGTTTGAATTAGCTTTCTAGATTAGAAATTATAGTCGAAAATTAGGTTTAATCTTTGTATTTTTAATTTTGCTCGAGGGTATATTGCAGCAAAGTGTTTGTCCTTCCTTTAACCTCATGTCCCTTCCGTACACACTGAAGGGGAAAGGGGGGGGGGCCTAAAAGGTGACGCGATTCTGACTCGAGCCAATAAAGGTTCGCACGCTGCCCTCGAGCGCTCTTCTTCATCTTACATGCGCCCTGTTGACCATTTGTGCCCTTTGCCCAATCAATACATAGTTTGAATTAGCGTTCTAGATTAGAAGTTATAGTCGAAAATCAGGTTTAATCTTTGTATTTTTAATTTTGTTCGAGGGTATATTGCAGCCAAGTATTTGTCCTTCTTTTAACCTCATGTCCCTTCCGTACACACTGAAGCAGAAAGGGGAGGGGGGCTAAAAGGTGACGCGATTCCGACTCGAGCCAATAAAGGTTCGCACGTTGCCCTCAAGCGCTTTCTTGGGGCAGTCGCGCCCCAGAAGAAACCGCCTCACATAGTGTGAGAAGTCGTCGCGCACCTCTCTTGCCTCGCGCCGCTAGTCTGAACCGCACCACCTGGGGCAGTCGCGCCCCAGAAGTAACCGCCTCACATA